GAATAGTAGTTCTTGAAGGTGGACACGAGCTTGAAGGGAACATGGGGTGTTAGTGAGCAGGCCACCTGCCCGTTGGCGCCAGAGTCACGGTCGGATACACTGATCAGCGCAATGACCGTGCTAGGCTGAGTGTCCTCTCGTACTGGGAGAGACAGCGAAGTCACGGTGACTTCAGGAGCATTATCATTGGCATCTAAGATCTCTACCCAGACTGTACAGTGACCTGCCATTGGGGGATTCCCTTTATCTGTGGCCTGTACTTCAATTTCATAAAACTTGTTTTCTTCATAATCTAATGTTCCATTGACCCTCATTTCTCCGCTATTTTCATCTAGTGTAAATAAGAATTTTCCATTGGGCTTAACTGCCATTAAGGAGTATGTTACCTCTCCATTGATTCCTTCATCTCGATCTGTGGCGTTTAGCTTTATCACAAAAGTTTCTTTAGCTGCGTTTTCCATCAATCTCACCTTGTATTCTGATTGCTCAAATTCCGGATCATTGTCATTAATATCCAAGACTTGGATGAAAAGCTGAACAGTGCCGGTTAGCTCTGGTTTTCCTCCGTCTGCAGCTGTCAGTAGCAAATTAAGTTCTGGAGTTTTCTCTCGGTCCAGATATTTCTTTAATTTAAGCGACAGTCTTTTAGTCTGCTTACTATGTGTTGGTAGTTCTAAAGAAAAATACTCATTTTGACTTAGTCTATAGGTCAATAGAGCATTCTCTCCTATATCTGCATCAGAAGCTCCCTCTAGAGGAAAATGAGAGTCAGGTTGCTTAGATTCAGAAATCAGCAGCTTTTGTTCTCTGAGAGAGAACACCGGCGGATTGTCGTTAATATCCTTTATTTCCACTTCTACATGGAAAACCTGCAGCGGCCTGTTCGCGATCACCTCCAGGTGGATGCTACACTCAGCTCTCTGTCCGCACAGCTCCTCCCGGTCGATCCGAGAATTCACAAACAAAATGCCATTCTGCAGATTTACCTCCAGATGGGCCCCGTGGCCTTTGGACACCACTCGGAAAAGGCGCGGCACCAGTTCAGTCACCTCCAGCCCCAGGTCCTGGGCGATGCGGCCCACGAAGGTGCCGTGTTTGGCCTCCTCCGGGACTGAGTAGTGGACCTGGCCGCTCCCAGCTTCCCAGACTGTGAGCAGCAGAAATGACAGCAGCAGAAGCCGAGTGCGCAATCCCCTTCTTTGAGAGCCAAACATGGCATACAACATTGACTTTCAAAATAAGGTTCTTTACACTCACAATACCAGAAACTCCTGTTTTGGGTTAAAAATCTAGCTGAATTTTTGAGAAGTTTCAAAGAATCTTTTAACAGTAGCGTTCGGCATGATGGAGCCGTTTTTTTTGTACGAGGCGTTCCTGGCCAATCAGACCAACCCATGAAAGAACTATTTCCACCAAGTAAAGAGCGACACCTTGCGCCTGAATAGTGAGTAGTGTGCACTACACCATACGTTATAGAATTTTACTTAAAGAGATAAATATAATTAACTTCACACATTTCATGTTACTTTACCCCCAAAATAATACTTCCAAAGTGCTTATTTAGGGAACATCATATTATAAGTTATATTGAAACTGACGGTATTTTATTCTTAATGGCATTTTATTCTTAATATGAAAATTTTGTTCCTATGCTTGATTTAGAGTTATACAATTGTTCTTTTACTTATCTACATAAATACACACAGAGTTCAATTCTCCAGGTAGCCTTATGAAAAACTAGGGTTAAACATTTCCTAAAGATACTGTTTCTCATATTAAAATGGTATCAAATTTTAATTGTTTTACTTCTAGTCTCTCTTGTTACTTTGGCTGCTAGGAAACTCAAAGACAAATTTGAGGTTTTAATAACAATTCTTTAGTCTTTAAGTTCTGCATGTTGTGTTCTTTTCTATGTGCACTTGCCTTCTATTCATGTCTATTTAATTCCAGTTATTTTTGTTATTAACATTTGTTTTTGTTACAAGCAATCATATATCCTGTGAAAAATAAAATTATGTTTTCAAAGTTAATCTATGTTTAAAACATAGAATTCACAATGGAAAAGTCTATGGATGTAGATGAAGTTTATATTTGACACATATGGTTTATCAGGTAAGTTGCATTGCTAACAGTATAATATGAGATATCAAAATGACCTTTATGTCAATGGTATGGGAGATGTCTTTCAATTATAAAATAAATTTACTATAATTCAATGAAATCAGTAAAACTCACCATGAAAATGTGTGTGCCATATTGGTATTTCCAAGTCACCAACACACATATGATTTATGTAAATCTGTCAAGATAAATTCATGAAAATAGCTGATTTGTTTCTTTTTGAAAGAATTATGAGTTTGAGATCATAAGTTCATCCATAACAAGGAAAATTATTTCTAATTAATTCCTGTAAGTGCCTAATACTTTGCTAAATATATATTGAGAAAATAATCAAACAATTCAACCAAATGGCAAACGACTTTAATGTTTGTGTAAAGTCAATTTCATAAAATACCAAGTAGAAAATGGGAATTGTTGATATAAGTTTTCATTGCATAAAGATGTAATTTGGTTATATGCCCTTTGTCTTCTCTATAGACTGGGAATTTAATGTGTCAAAAGAGAATACAATGGAAGTTTAAAGTAGAAAGTTATTTAGAATAAAGTTCATTGCTTTATGAGTAAAAAATACTCATAGCTTGAGTATTTTATTGAATGATTTTTTAATTTTTTAATGTTTATTTCTGAGAGAGAGAGAGAGACAGTGTGAGTGGAAGAGGAGCTGTGAAAGAGGGAAACACAGAATGTGAAGCAGGCTCCAGGCTCTAAGCTGCCAGCACAGAGCCCAATGTGAGGCTTGAACCCACAAACTGTGAGATCATGACCTGAGCCAAAATTGGATGCTTAACTGACTAGGCAACCCAGGCGCCCCTTGTTGTATGACTTTGATGATTCATCTCTTATTTAAAAATATTTAAATGGCATATTAAAAATTAGTAGTACATCTATTTGTATGTTAATATTTTTCTTTATCTTGAGTACACACACACACACACACACACACACTCACACACAATGGGTAATGTTATCATCCTGCTAGAATTCTTAGTAAATGCAAAATTTCTTCTTAAAAAACTAATAAAGCAGACTCTTAATTTTTTATAACACTGAATTTTCTTATGCATGTGTGAAGCAATCAGTTATAAGGGCCTCTAATCAAAATATGACATTGGACTACATTAACAGTAGATTTAACATGCTATCTGAAAACCATCAGATTTATTTTGGAGAAAAAAAGCAAAAGATCTCCAACCATTTCACTACAGAAATTGGGGATTGAAATGTTACATGCAATATGGAGTCCTGAAAGGCAGATAGAAAGATGAACATTAGAAATATTACCCAAGCTAGATAATATTACATGTCTGAATTAAAACCAGATGCTGATTTATCAATGACTCTCCAGTAATATGGTGGGTTTTTTTTTTATATGAAAGGATATAAGATGAATACCAAGTCACAAAAGTTTGTGACTAGATGGCTCAGTCAGTTAGGCATCCGAGTCTTAATTTCAGCTCAGGTCATGATCTCACGTGTAAAATCAAGTCCCATGTCAGGCTCTGCACTGACAGTGTGGAGCCTACTTGGGACTCTCTCTTTCCCTCTCTCTCTGCCCGCCCACCCTTGTGTGCTCTATCTCTTTTTCTCTCAAAGTAAATAAACATTTTTTAAAATGTTTGACATATTGTATTAACCAATGACCCATCTTTTGCATTTTGGCTGTGATATTTCTGATATCACCATTTCAACTAGCTGATATAAAAGAGATCATGCTATCTTTGAACTCATCTTTGGGGATGGGCTCAAGATCTGGCAATAAGCTAATGTCAAGAAGTTCATATCAATATTGTCCTTAACACTGATTCTGTAAAATTAATTGAAAGGAACTTTTTGCCTGATCTTTACTAAACCAATCTGGTTAGTCTTAAATTTCAACTGTATGTACTGCTAGCCATATATTAGAGTGTATGAATTACTGTTCTACTAGTCTTCATATTTCACTAATGTAACATAACAAGTCTGGTAACATTACTATTAAAAACATAAAACAGAGGGGTGCCTGGGTGGCTCAGTCAGTTAAGCATCTGACTTCAGCTCAGGTAATGATCTCGTATTTTGTGGGTTCGAGCCCCGCATCGGGCTCTGGGCTGACAGCTAGCTCAGAGCCTGGAGCCTGTTTCAGATTCTGTGTCTTCCTCTCTCTCTGACCTTCCCCTGCTCGTGCTGTTTCTCTCTCTCTCAGAAATAAATAAAAAAACATTTAAAAAACCCATTAAACAGAGAAACTAATCTTGAAACATTCTTGGAAACCCAGGAGGCTCTTCAAAATCAATGGATTAGAAGTACTATTCAACATTATATTATCAAAATTATAGGATATATTCATTGATGTTCACTCTTTGCTATCATGGCTCATTAAAGTATACACAGTTATTTGATCATAGATCATTAGTCCAGTGAGCACAAATCTTACAGGCAACAAGACTGAAGCAGACTGAATTCTGAAAAACCTACACACATTCAAAGATTTTCACAGGCAATATACATCTTAAACCTATTACTGAAGTATGACATTTTGGAAACACTTATTGCATCATTTGCTGATGTTCACGATCCTGGAAATAATCGTATTTTCCCTTATATTTGTCCAAAACATTATCCTTATTCACAGCATGAAGAAGAAAGGGTCATTTTCATATTTATCATTTGGCTTTACTCTTCTGCAAGAACATCAGAATTTTATGGATTTCCTCACATGTTAAATAATTCTTATTTTTATCACTTCCAAAAAAAAACAGATACATAGTCTTTACAATGGCAACTCTTCATTATCTACTGATTGAATAATGCAAATACCTATCTCAATGTGGCATGAAGAAACATTAACATGATCATGAGCTCTTCTGAGAAAAAAAAACTTAACATAAAAAACTCAATTCTTATCTCAGTTATGACATTCTACAAAATTAAATATGACAATACTCATGAAGGTTTTTTCTTAAGCAAAGCTGAGAGAAGGATTCACTTGTATACGGTTTGTGCTTGACTTTCCTAGCCAGAACTATGCCTGATCAGAGAAAAGATTTACTGTAGAAAGCTCTACGGTGAATAAAAGAATGGATCTGGAATCAAAAAGATACACATTTGAATATCAACTTTATCATGTGCTAGCTGGATGGCAGTAGACAAGCTAGACAAATATCTTCCCATGTCCTAGTTCATCTTTAAAATTCAGGTAGTCACATGTACTTTATAAGTTGTTACAAAGATTAAATAAAATTATATATTTTAAGTACTTCACACATTGTCTAATAAACTGAAATAACTCAAATAGTAGTGGTTTATTTATAGTTAGTGTCTGTTTGATCTTGTTCTATTTTGTAGCTATGGATGAAGAGAATTTCAGTATGATATACTATGCCATGGTTTTTCCTTTTCTGAAGATGTCTTAATGTTCATCTTCATAGAAATCATCTTTTTTTTTGCTGGGTAGAAAATGGTCACTAATGACTTCTCAGCATCTCTGTAAACTTTACCCTATTCATAACATGGTTCTTCTCCACATAAAAATATACATAACTTATTTCAATACAGCTAAAGGGTACATTAACTTGTACACTGTAGCAAAAAAATAATAATAATAAAATTTCACATCAGAGAGACAGAAAGAGAGAGAAGAAGGGAAGAACAAAATCTGAAGCAGGCTCCACTCTGCCAGAGCAAAGCCAGATGCTGGGCTCAAATTCAGGAACCAATGGATCATGACCTGAGCTGAGATGGAGTCAGAGGCTTTACCAACAGAGCTATCCAGACACTATCTTTGTGATTTCTTTAAACGGTTCACATAAATATAGCTTTGGGACCAAAAAAAAGTTTGTATCAAATGTATCTAAAGTATATAATGTTAAATTGTGAAATATGATCAACACCACTGTCAAGCAGAAGTGCCTTTGTGGATATTCCATGGTTGTTATGTGTAAGCTATTTAAACCAATCTCATTTCAAAGACCAACTGGCTGGGTGAACACATAAATTAGTATTACCCTTCCCCAATATGGGAACACTTTGTTAAACTCAAAGCACAAAGGAGTGTGAATTTTTCAACACTACCCTAAAATATTTCCATACAGCTTCATGATGAGTCCCATGATTGTAAGAAATATAAATATGATCAAATATAAAATAAATCTTCCAAATAAAATAAAGGAAATCAATGAATTAATCTAGAGGACAGCAGCAATAGATTCAATAGGCAATTAGGAAAACTGAAATTAAGAAGTATAGAAAGGAGCACCTGGATGGCTCAGCTGGTTGAGCAGCTGACATTGGTTCAGGTCATGATCGTACCATTTGGTGTTGGGTTCATAAGTTCAAGGCCCACATTGGGCTCACTGCTGTCAACACAAAACCCTCTTGGGATCCTCTGTACCCCTCTGTTTACCCCTGCCCCACTTGTTTTCTTGCAAAAATAAACATTTTTAAAAGGTAAAAAAAATGTAGTTTATCTGAAGCAGCTCAAGACTATTAAGAAAATAATATTGAAATTGTGAGAGACTTAAAGACAAAAAAGTAAAGTTCCCCTCAAAGATAAGGCTGAAACTTCACCCACTTCTCAAAGAAGTATGCCATTGATTATAAAGAAACAAAACTATTTATAAAAGGAAGCCACCTCAACAGTCCATGTCCATTTGTAATAAACTTATAGTTTATAGAAAAGTAAGAAGTTAAATACATTTCAAACTCAAGATAACTAAACTATGAAGTGACACATTATTATGGTCATTTTGATTATGTTTAACATAATTAGTGGAGGACATCAATTAAAGTAAGAAAATGTATAGGAAAAATTAACTTGCTGCAAAGTTGAGAACTAGAATATTTAAGCTTTGCACACATTCTCCATTTTCAATGAGTGATCCTTGCTTTCTTTCCAGGACGATTTAACCTTCTTCATTTTCCGAAAGCATTAGCCATCTGTTTCATTTTTGCATACCACTCTTATTATTTCCAGCAAATAAATAATGTTCCAGGCATGTTCACAAAGACTTTAGTGAAAAGTAATAAAAACAGAGAGACTTCCAGTATGCTTTAAAAATAAACCACCCCAAAGGAAAAAAACAAAAAACAAGCAACTGAAGCAATAAACGTACAGTAATGTTAGTGAACATACTATGAGATTGACATCAAAAGGCATAAAAACTATTCCAGAATTACTGTACTTACATCATTCCTGAAAATATCCCGTTGTTCTCCACTATCTCCAGAACTTGAACCAGGAGGAACACTAGGGCTGAAGGCCATGAGGTCGGTCTTGGGCGCGCCCTCCCCAGAGCACACCCTCTGCCGCCTCTGCTGCGAGTACGACCAGCTCCCCACCGCGCTGGAACACACCAGCGTGGGCTTCCCAGGCGCGCACGCGCCCCCCGTGGGCGGCGCCGAGCACCGCAGCGCCGTGTACAGCAGCAGCGTGAGCACCAACAGGCTGGACACGGCGCAGATGGCGACGATCAGGTACACGTTGACGTCCACCAGCGCCGCCTCCGCGCCCGCCGCGCCCGCCAACGCCCGCGACGACGCCTTGGGCGCCTGGCCGCTCTCCACCAGCGACAGCAGCACGGTGGCCGTGGCCGTCAGCGCCGGCTCGCCGTGGTCCTTGACCAGCACCAGCAGGCGCTGGCGCGGCGAGTCCGCCTCGTCCAGGCTGCGCGTCGTGCTGATCTCGCCCGTGTACAGCGCCACGCGGAACGGGCTGCGCGCGCCCCCCGCCGCCGGCTGCAGCTCGTACGACAGCCACGCGTTGTAGCCAGAGTCCGCGTCCACCGCGCGCACCTTCGCCACCACGTGGCCCGCGCCCACCGACCGCCACACCAGCTCGCTCACCGCGCCCGCGCCGCCGCCCGCCCCAGGCAGCGGCAGCAGCGCGGGCGCGTTGTCGTTCTCGTCCAGCACGAACACCTGCAGCGTCACGTTGCTGCCCAGCGGAGGCACGCCCGCGTCGCGCGCGCTCACTTGGAACTGCAGCAGCTCCAGCTCCTCGTGGTCCAGCGGCTGCAGCGCGTACACCTTGCCGCTCTCCGCGTGCACCGACACGTAGCTCGACAGCGCACGCTCGCCCACCCGCCGCTCCACCAGCGAGTAGGACACCCGCGCGTTCTCCCGCGCGTCCGCGTCCCGCGCGGACACCGTGAAGATGTGGCAGCCGGGCGGGTTGTTCTCCCTCACGAACACCGTGTACTCGGGCTGCGCGAATGCCGGCGCGTTGTCGTTCACGTCGGCCACCTCCACGGACACGCTGGCCGTGGCCCACAGCGAAGGCGAGCCTCCGTCCCGCGCGGTCACTACTAGAGTATAGTCCGACACGCTCTCGCGGTCCAGGGCGCTGTCCACAACCAGCGAATAGTAGTTCTTGAAGGTGGACACGAGCTTGAAGGGAACATGGGGTGTTAGTGAGCAGGCCACCTGCCCGTTGGCTCCAGAATCACGGTCAGTTACACTGATTAGGGCGATGACCGTCCCCAGTAGAGCATCCTCTGGAACTGACAGCGACAGCGAAGTCACTAGCAACTCCGGAGCATTATCGTTAATATCCAAAACTTCTATCAAGATGGTGCAGTGACCAAACATCGGGGGATTTCCTTTGTCAACTGCTTCTATTTGAAGTTTCCATAATTTAGTTTCTTCAAAATCTATTTTTCCGTTTACTTTTATTTCTCCACTGACTGAATCTATGTGAAAAGAGGCTTTTGTATTAGAAGAGACATCAGTTGCAAAGGAGTAAAGAATGTGACTGTTGGAACCTTCATCCAAATCCGAGGCATTAAGTCGAATAACCAGTGTACCGTTTCTCGAATTCTCCAGTAATTTTACACGATGGACTGCTTTGTCAAATACCGGGGCGTTGTCATTTGCATCCAGCACTGTGATGTGTAATTCTGTGGTACCTGTCAGCTCAGGTTTGCCCCCATCAGTTGCTTTGAGCACCAAGAGAAGCTTTGAATCTACTTCCCTGTCTAAGGATTTTTTTAGTACTAGTTCGAGCGGTTTTATCTGTTCCTCGTTGCTGGGTACTTCCAGAGAGAAATATTCGTTAGAGCTCAGTTTGTAAGTCAGCAGAGCGTTGGCCCCGATATCTGCATCAGAGGCGCCCTCTAGTGAAAAATGAGAGTCAAGAGCCCTAGTTTCGGAAATAAACAAATTTTTTTGTGTCGCTGGGAACACTGGAGGGTTGTCGTTAATGTCCTTCACCTCCACTTCCACATGGAAAACCTGCAGCGGCCTGTCCACAATCACCTCTAGGTGGATGCTACACTCTGCGCTCCGCCCGCACAGCTCCTCCCGGTCGATCCGAGAATTCACAAACAAAATGCCATTCTGCAGATTTACCTCCAGAAGGTCCCCGTGGCCTTTNCCACCTGCCCGTTGGCGCCAGAATCATGGTCGGACACTCTGATCAGGGCAATGACGGTGCCCACCTGAGCATCTTCTTGCACCGGGAGAGCCAAAGAAGTGATAACCACCTCAGGTGAATTATCATTTTCATCCAGAATTTCCACTACGACGGTGCAGTGACCAACCATAGGTGGGTTTCCTTTGTCTGTAACATCTACATGAATTTCATAAGTAGTGCTCTCCTCAAAGTCAATAGCATCATTTACTCGTATTTCTCCCGTTTTTTCATTCATTAGAAATTTCCATCTTATGCTCGACGGAACCAAAGCACTAAATGAATATATCATTTCTTTGTTTATTCCTTCATCCGCATCAGACGCATTCAGCCATATTACTAACGTTTGGTTCGCTGAATTTTCATACATTTTAACTTCATAAACGGATCGGTCGCACATAGGCGCATTATCATTGGCATCCAACACCAAGATCAGCAGAGTAACAGATCCGGTATATTCGGGTTTGCCTCCATCAGTTGCCGTTAATAATAACTGAAGCTGAGGATTTTCTTCACGATCCAGCATTTTTCCTAGAACAAGCACTGGAAATTTGCCTTTGTCTTTTTTGTTTATAATATCAAGAATGAAAAATTCATTTGGACTGAGTCTGTAAGTAAGCACTGCATTCTCTCCAACATCTGCATCAGATGCGCCTTCTAGTGGAAATCGAGAGTCAAGCAGTCGAGATTCGGGTATTGACAGCTTTTGTACTGAGACGGAGAAGACAGGCGGGTTGTCGTTAATGTCCTTCACCTCCACTTCCACATGGAAAACCTGCAGCGGCCTGTCCACGATTACCTCCAGGTGGATGCTACACTCCGCGCTCCGCCCGCACAGCTCCTCCCGGTCGATCCGAGAATTCACAAACAAAATGCCATTCTGCAGATTTACCTCCAGAAGGTCCCCTTGGCCTTTGGACGCCACTCGGAAAAGGCGTGGCACCAGCTCCGCCAGCTCCAGCCCCAGGTCCTGGGCGATTCGGCCCACGAAGGTGCCGTGTTTGGCTTCCTCTGGGACAGAGTAGTGGACCTGACCGCTCCCCGCCTTCCAGGCTGCGACGAACAGAATCATGAGAAGCAGGCGCCAGGCTCTTGGTCCGCTGGGTCTGTAGACCAACATCATACCTTTCTGCCGATTTACAATTTGATGAATCAGCGGTCTAAAACAACTGCTCTCAATTTTCCTATTCGGTTTCTTACGTGCACTTTTTTAGAAATGGCTGAGCTTTGCGAATGTACTTCCTTTCTAGTCCTCCAGAAACAGGATTATGCCTTTGGTCCCAAAAAAATTTTGTGGAAGGCAGCGACATCCGGTGGCTAAATGTGTAAGTACAATTCCATGAGTTTTAACTTGTCTTTCATTCACAGCTTTTGATTCTATTTCTACATATTTGTATGTCTCTGGATCTTCAAAACTTCTCATGAGGTCTCTTTTGTACATAATAATAATCATTGTCGACTTTTAGTTCAGGCTTTTCTTAAATGCAGAATCTCGGGGAGTAATTTCTTCCCCAACCATGATTATCATTAGCTACATTTGAAAATATTCTTAATATTTGTATAATACTGAATGTATTAGTATTTTGCTGGATAACAGATTTATATCTCTTCAAATTTGACACTTAATTCACTTCTCTTTCTCATTATTTTTGCGATTGAATAAACCTTACCAGACACTAATCTCAAGTATCACTTCTCTGTGAGGAGCTTAAAACTCTTAAATTTCAGTCATCACTAGAAAGTTAATAGAACACTGGCTCAACATTGGAAATGACTCCATTGTGATTCTTATTCTTAAACTTACTGGTTGTGTGACTCTCTCTGTCTCTGTTTCCAGTTTCATAACATTCACATAATAATAATATGGTAGTTGTGTGAATTATGATACATTAAATGTCTAGGATATTACCTTAAGAAGAATGTGTGGTTCATAAATGGCAATATTTGCAGCCCTCAATTTAGCCACGTTTATTTTCATAATGGTCAAGACCAAAATCAGCTTTTAGGTAAAAATTATTACCTGTAAAATATTATCATTCTGCAATGTCTTTACTATTGCTACTGCACAGGCTGAGTGGTGGTTCCCATTTTAGAAAAGCATAAAAGTACTTTTTTGAGAAATCAGTTATACAGAGATAAGTTTAATTTTTTGTTATGCATCTTACAAGGGCAAAAAGAACTTTAATTATAATTCTAAAAAGAAGTGCTTTCATCTTTGTTACATTTAAGCTTTTCAACTACCCCAAATATACAATTTGGGAATTATCTAATAGTTTTATCAGTGTCAATAAAGCTTTTATTACCACCAGAAGTAAAATATTTTCCCGTGAAGATTTCAGAATCAAATATTTAGTAACTGAAATTCTCTATTATTATATCTGCACTACTGAAAAAAGAGAAAAAAATTCTTTTTTCCCAAAAAGGAAAAATTTAACAATAGGATCTTTGGTCTTATCCAAAGGTTATTTTCTTTACTTTAATGATGTTGTAAATTACAACAGAGAACAATAATTTTGAACCCTTTCAGTTGGTATTAAGAACTGAAAACAGACTAACATTTATGAACAAAAAAATTGACAGGAATGAGAGTCATTTAATTCATGGATTCATGTGTGCCACTAAATTGTTTTTATACTTCTCTACTTCTTCAGATTGACCTTAGTTGAAAGTCCATTCAAATTCTGATTTTAAGGGTTATTTTTCTTGTAAAGCACAAATTAAAGTGTAACAACTTATGTATCCATCTACAATACCAATCAATGCTTAGTTTGAGCTACTCTCTGGAATCTAAAAATAAGTTTATCAGTGAATAATCATCGCAACACAAGGCAATGATATAAACTAAATTCTATTCCTGTTAATATGCATTTTATAGCAAGTAATGGCATAAATGTGCCAATTAAATCTTCAATACTGAATACAAAGTAGGGGGTAGTTAAATTATATACTCTCAAATGACAGGAACTTGCTTTGCTAAGTGTCTCATAAGCCTACTGAATCTAAAACTTCAGCTGAATAAGAAACACCTGGAGTGCTTATTAAAATGCAAGTTTGCAATCCTACTTGTTTCAGAAATCTTGGAGTGGAGTCTGGGAACCAGAATGTTCAATAAGGACTCCAGGTGTTGCTAATGCAGTTAGCATTGTTATGTCTAGGATAGGATGGGCTGACCATAGACCCCAAGTTATCTGGAATATATTCTGTTTTTGTATGTAGTCTCCTATACTTATTTATAGTGTCTCCTCATTCTCAAAAGTGTCTAAGATTAACTCAGAACTTAGATAATTAACCCTATATAAAAATTACACTTTAGGGGCTGTCATAGGCAAGTTTCATTATTGACTTAATGACTGCTGCTTGACCTGAGGGGTGTTACCCAGAGAAACACAGAGGGCTAGTTACTAGGCAGAACCCTACAGTGTCTTCCATACTTTCACTTCTCCATTTTGAACTTCCCAGCTGTTTCAAGTCCTAAGTGTGCTCCCTGGATCCCAGTGTGCTCATGCTTTGTCATGACCCAAAAGATAAATTCATTGCTAGATGTTCACTGATCTTCTGAAAATTTGCAAATGATGATAGCCCATATTAAAGAGAAAATAAATATTAATATAAAGGATGAAATTATCAATTATATTAATACAGCTATCAATAATAAAGAATAAAATTTATAATTATAGAAGACATAGTAAGTAGTTAATAAATAATACTAGCTCTAAGAGACTAAGGGAGTAGGGAGAGTAGATTTCTAGCAATCCTCAATCCATATAATCCATATAACATAAATCAAACATCTGATCCCAATTCAAATGGCATATGGAACCTGAAAAGGTGCAAGGACAAAGGTATTTGGAGGTATAAGTCTAGATTTAAGGTGAGTTATGCTGACAGACATAGACAAAATTGATTACAGGAGCTCAGAGTTTACTCAAGTTGGGAAAGAAACACCATGAAAACAAAATAGATTACTTTGTAACATATAACAAACGTCCTCTATAAAGAAAAAAATTGCTGAAATAATTATTTAAATTAATTTTACTTGCACTTTCATGGTTATATTGTGGCTCTATTCTTAGAGGTACTCTGATTTTGCTCTGCTGAGGTTTTTTTTTTTTTTTAGTTGTTTATTTTGAGAGATAAGAGCATGCATGAGCAGGGGAGGGGCAGAGAGAGAGAGGGAGAGAGAACCCCGAGCAGGCTCCACGCTGTTAGTGCAGAGCATGGGGCAGGGCTCAAACCCACAACCATGAGATCATTACCTGAGCCAAACCAAGAGCCAGACGCTTAACCAAGCCAGCCACCCAGGTGCCCCACTCTGCTGGGTTTTTAATTAAGGGATAACTTGTAAAATATCTAACACAATAAAAAACACTGGAATAGAAAAATAAGTCACATAACAAGAACTCAACATAAGTAAAAAGGAAGTTTCTAAAATATAAATTAGAAAACAAAAGCTTGAACTAAAGACCCAGTGTGAAGAACCACCACTCTGAAAGTCACATACCACAATTCAGGAAATATAAGTTTAACCTGTAATGAGTTTAAAGGTATACAATATCACTTCAGATTTCTGTCTTTCAGAATATTAAGAGTAAAAGTAAATCATCATCTCCACTGATGGGGTAACTTTTTAAGTTACGGACTATGAATTTCAAGAAAATTCAAAGTTTAAAATGTAGCTATATGTCTAATGTCCAAACATTATGTGCTAACAAAAATTTTAGTAAAAAGGAGAAAGTCTTTTGAAGGAAGAAAGTACATGTCAAGAAGTATTTTCCCCAATATCAGATAAAATAGGAATTTCAAGAGATCTTCTAAATGTAGAAAAGATAATCAATACATTACCAAAATGGAACATGTTTTACACAAGTTGGAATGAGATTTACATTTCTAACCTTTGATGTCAGATTCCTAAAGTAAAGTAACTCTTTTCTAGGGTACACTGAAATTTACTCATTGAAATAGCACTACTCAGTAGTGCTGACCAACCATGTCTCTAGTCTCCATCCGGAAGAAAGCAGAAAACTACAAAGTTAACAAGGTTGTACTTACTACATATTTATGTTTTTCTATTCTTATAAAAAATAGAATTATACTAAAATATCATGCATACCTTAGAAATGAATAAATGATAGGGTGATGTTGAAGTATACTTTTTAAAAATATTTTTTGTTTATTATTGAGACAGAGAGAAACAGAACATAAATGGGGGAGGGGCAGAGAGAGAGGGAGACACAGAATGTGAAGCAGGCGCCAGGCTCTGAGCTGTCAGCAGAGAGCTGGATGCAGGGCTTGAACCCACAAACAGTGAGATCATGACCTGAGCCAAAGTCGGAGACTAACCGACTGAGCCACCCAGGTGCCCCTGTTGAAGTATACTAAATGTGTACCGATTAAATTGTTTTTCAACTGATGGTTTTCAGGCAGAGAAGTAGCCTACCTATTGAAATTCATATGACCTCATAACGGGTTTTAAATAAAACTGATTCAGCACCCAATAAATATCTACTCAATATATGGTTTTTAATGAACCTCAATTAGAAATTGAAACTCAAAAGTCAGGTATAAACCTCAAGTACTCACTTCTGAAAAACAAGAATATACTGACAGATCTCTAATATATCTGAGTAAAACTATTTAAGTACCGTCGGAGGTAGTAAGATTATTTTTCAGGCTATAAATATATAAATGAATAAAATATTTGAGCAACTGACCTTTACAGAAGACTCCAAAGAAGCTTGTGGATCTTCCGTTGCATTCAGAGATCCAGGACACGGGGGAAGGCTGGGGCTAAAGGCCATGAGGTCGGTCTTGGGCGCGCCCTCCCCAGAGCACACCCTCTGCCGCCTCTGCTGCGAGTACGACCAGCTCCCCACCGCGCTGGAACACACCAGCGTGGGCTTCCCAGGCGCGCACGCGCCCCCCGTGGGCGGCGCCGAGCACCGCAGCGCCGTGTACAGCAGCAGCGTGAGCACCAACAGGCTGGACACGGCGCAGATGGCGACGATCAGGTACACGTTGACGTCCACCAGCGCCGCCTCCGCGCCCGCCGCGCCCGCCAACGCCCGCGACGACGCCTTGGGCGCCTGGCCGCTCTCCACCAGCGACAGCAGCACGGTGGCC